GTCCCTGATAAGGGAAGTTATTTTATAGTATGCCGTACCTGCTGCATTGCCAACTAATTGCAGGTTTCACCACTCAAAAAGTTCCTCTGTTGGGTGATCATGTGTGTCTTCTGTGCATGCTGTTGGCACTTTAAATTTTAATTGTAATCACACAAGAACCAACAAAAAGCAAGAGAGTCAAAATGGTGCTACAAAAAAAAACACCTCAGTGTGTGCATTAGTGGCATCTTGGAGATATTTTCCCCCTATTTATCTCTTTATGCCATCATGCCTTCCCTCCTGTCCGTTATTTTCAAGATTGGGGGTGGAATGATAGTTACTGAGGTTATCAACTTGTGCCACCAAAAATGGGCATGGGCTTAATATTTTATCATCTTGCTATGGTAACTCCTAAGTCATCCATGCAAGTCAGTAATTCGTTTGTGTTTGGTGTCACTGTTGCTTTTACACATTGACGTTCCTTGGCAACTTTGCTATAACTGTGAATTGAGATCAGTAACATAAGTAGGATAAGTGGGTGGCATAGTGGCTCAGTGGTTGGTACTGCAGTCTCACTACACCAAGGACATGGATTCAGTTCCACCCCCAGACGACTGTCTATGTGGAGTTTGCAAATTCTCCCCATGTCTGTGTGGGTTTCCTCCATGTGCTCCGGTTTCCTCCCACAGTCCAAAGAATATGCAGGTTAGGTGGATAGGCCATGCTAAATTTCCCATAGTGCCCAGGGATATACAGGCTAGGTTGATTAGCCATGGGAAATGCAGATTTACAGGGGCAGGGTTGGGGGTTGTGCGGACTGGGTAGAATGCTGTTTAGAGGGTTGGTGTGGACGTGATGGGCCAAATGGCCTGCTTCCACACCGTAAGGATTCTGCGATTCTATATCAATGGGAGCAATTAGTTTGCTGGGGAGTTTTAAGGCAGATTGACATACTGGAGCAGGAAAAGGTCATTTTGTTTCCAGTCCATAATTGTATTAATTTTTCTGCTGCTACCCTGTCAGGAGTGACATTATCAGGATGGATATGGGAGACTGCCATGACTATATTTACCCATAAAAACTATTTGTCTCTGAGCTCTAATTTAAACAGTATTTCGAAGGTATATTTTGCCAGCCTTCAACTGCAACATAATGTCAGCAAAGGAAGTGCAATCTGCAATTTACTAAACGATATGCGAAAACAAAACACAGCAATGCATTTGTCAGGAATAACTTGTGCTGAGTTTTGCAGAACCTCTTAACACATTTATGAAGCATGTGTTGACTTGTCTGGAACATACATTCTTATAAAGAATAGCATTTTACTTTGCAGGTGCAACATACAGCGCCTCAGTCTGTTTAAAATTAGGAAATAAATTACTGCAATTATTTGGCATTCCACTGTGCGCTTCTGGTTTATTTCGGGAACTGTTAACTCACTGATAGAAGAACTGACACTGTGCAAAAAATGGTGCTGGAATGTGATAATTCCCAGTCACAACCAGAACTGCAGCCTGATTACCCTTCTGTACTGACATAAAAAATCCATGAAAATCACAAGATTTCATTTCAAGATGTAAGAATCTGTTTATCGATGAGCGTTGTTTATTTTCTGACCTTGCAGCTAGCAGTATTCACTGTTTACTGTTTCACAATTTGTTCTACAATAGTATTTCTTATTTCTTCTCTCTTATCTTGATTCTTTCTTCCACTCCCACCTACATTCTTCTCGGAGGAGTAATCCTGATGAGGGACCAAAGATTTACACATAGAGGCAAGGAGCTTATCTTAGATGTTAAATGAATTCTTTGCATTGTTACCTATGAGGGAGGTGATGCCCAGGCCATGGTAACAAAGGAGGAAACTCAATCACGAAACAAAGTTTAAAATTGATAAGGAGGTGATATTGGAAAAGCTGTGAGTGTTTAAAGTTAAGGAAATGGGATCGGATGCTATACATCCAGGGATATTGAAGGAAGTAAGAGTGGAAACTGCAGAGGCATAGCAATAGTCTGTCAAATTGCCCTGAATTAGCAGTTGGTGCTAAAGGATTGTTTTCTCTTGGAAAGGAAAAGAGGAGATTTGATAGGAGTTTTCAAAATCATGATGGGCTTGGGAGAATCTTTTCCCACTTGTAAATGGATTGAAAACCAAACGGCTCAATTTTAAAGTGCCTTGTGAAAGAAGCAAATGAGATGAGAAAAATCTTTTTCACACAGTGATTGGCCCAGGCTTGGATTGCACTGCCTGGAAAGTGTTTAAGGCAGATTCAGTTAAGGTATTCAAGGGGGCATTGAGTGACTATTTATAACTTGTAAACAATGTGCAGAGTTAGGGGGAAATGGCAGGAGTCCAACACTAAGTCAACATGCTCAGAGAGCTGAAGCAAACATAATGGGTCAGTGCTCCTTCTGCATTGTAACAATATTGTTGGAATCTATAGCTCAGGCAGTATTCACTACACGTGGTTTTCCTTGGTGCTAACAAACATTTCCATGGAATTTTGATGTGCCCATTCCTCTCAATATGAGTTCTTATTTGAATCCTGCCATTTGATTTCCAAACAATTCAATTTGGATAGCTGAAAGAAAGCAACTGAAAATTGTGTAGCCTGGAAACTGTGGGTTAAGACAAGATTGATGTTGCAGTGCCTAGGACTTCACGCGGTTCTGCTGATTGGGATGGAAGACAGGGGAGACCCAATCTTTCCTTCAGGATCATGGAGGAGCAGTAACTGTATCAACAATGAAAACTGTACGTTGATACTTTATTATTGCGCAACCAGTCTTTTCTGGACTTTCCAACACTACAAAAGCACTTCATCTTTCTAGGTGATACTGACGCCCATATATCTACTATTTGAGAGAGATAGTAGGGACTGCAGATGCTGGAGAATCTGAGATAACAAGGTGTAGAGCTGGATGAACACAGTAGGCCAAGTAGCATCATAGGAGCAGGAAGGCTGACGTTTCTGGCCTTCAGATTTTCAAATCATGGGTGATAAAAAATCATTTTGCAAAATCAGAATACTGTCTCAGCAAATAGCACAGGCAGCTCCTCACTTTAGTAATGGTAGGGGCTCTGGTCACTAAGTTGGATTCTGGGGAGGAGGCAATGTTTCCATGGCTGGGAAAGAAACCCTGAAGCAACAGGCCAAACAAGGAATTGGATCACAGCACCCAAAGACAAATGCCTGGAGTCTGGTTCCATAACTGTGGTAGCAATGTATCAAAAAGTAATAGAAGCTCACCTGGGGGTCACGATGAGTGAATGCATCCTTACTGTGCCTTTCTTATTTGCCACACCACTGATCTCTCACTTTGCTCAGTACACAAGACTCACATCATGCTTTCCAAAGCACTCCCTCGCCGAATAATCACTAGAGGATAATGTTGCCAAAACCTGCTACTACATGGGACACAGATGAGGATTTTGGTGGGGCAGCACACAGCAGCATGCTGATAACTATGTATATTTAGGTGCTTGGGCATTAACAGGCCTGCTGGCCCCTTTTATTACTGTTTTGCAGCATGGAAGATTCAGGCTTAAATTAAGCAGAATGTATAGCACGGAAGTTGGAATTGGATCCTTTTCATCATAGGAGTAAGCGCCAACACAGGGATGCTACTGTTGGACTGACTCAAAATAAAACATTTGGCAGGCACTATATCAGCCTCCGCTGCAGCCCAGGCTGTCATACAGCCTTGGTTCACTCCCATTTAATCCAGATCTTTAGTACATCAAGGGGCACAAAAGCTTCTATAGCAGTCTGGCAACTTGTGCACAGTCAACTTACCAAGATTACTAAGGTATCACATCTCTGGAGCGCTGTAGAACATATACCCACTGAACTTTTGCAGGGGGCAGCATTTATGCTCCTACCAAAGACACTCTTTCAGTGCTCTTCTTTTTGTTTCTTAGCCAGCCTACCCAACTACTATCACCCATGCCAAAGCGGTACAATGTAGAATCAAACTTTGAAGGCCCAGAACTGGTGAAGGTCATTCTGAAAGACCACCTACAGTGCCCCTTTGAAATTCAGTAGCCTTCCATCAGCCATGCTGCAATCATTGGGATAGCACTGTGCACAAGCACTAGGCCAGGCAAAAACTTTTCCAGACAGGTACAAAGGGAAAGTGCATAGGGCAATTTGTTCATTTTTGTTTGTTTCACTGGATGTATTGTTGCATATAGCTGTTCTTTGAAGTTTCTTGTTGGTCACCTTTGTTACTGAACGTTAGGTAAGGAGTGATTGCGATTGGGAATGAGTAATGGATGTGAGGGTGGTGATTTGTGGGTCCACATTGACATGTGGAGAGGTATTTGCGCAGGAAGCAGAACTCCACAGTCTGCTGTCTGATGCTCTGTCCAGTTTCATGGGGTCCAGGATAACTCTATTATACCTTCTTCTGTTCCTTCTCCTCCTGAGTTTGCTGTTCGTTTTCCCTCTTTACAGAGCTTTGTGTTTTCCATTTTCTCTACTTCCTTTATTCCATTTCCAAGGTCGAATGGTGGTGTCCTTCTGCGGCTATATTCCTAAACTTCCTCGCTCATACCAACTGTGCCTAAGGAAAAGTCAATGAAAATAATGAACCTTCAATATTTAATTATGGCACGCTTCTGTCCCACCTTGCAGCTGTATGCTGACTTTCCAGTCTGGCTTCACAACAACTGGTTCAGCTGTGTGACATGAGGAGAGCATTGGTTTAAGTTCTTCGGGTACACTGAGATGAAGGACCTGCTTATGTCTTCCTTGTTCATTTGGATTGCGTGGCCATGCAGAAATCAACCAATCCACTCTTAATAAGTGGTACAAGGCTTCTGTCAGAGTGCTACGTGAATCAGTTTTGTGCTCTTTATGATCTGGAAATTTTTAATTGAAGAATACAGCTTCTTTACATTATACTTTATCAATTACTGCATCTCTCTGTAATGTTAAATTTGAGAGCAATATATTCACATTTGTTAATGACTTTCCTTGGATATAGGCAAGTTATAGTTTTCTTCATCTTTTATTCTAGATCTCTATGTACATTGACTTGTAAATGGACCTACTCTGCAGAAAAAGGCTGGACTGATTGTTTCTGGAAACAGATTGGACTTGCAGACTTAGTAGCCAACAACTACTCTAAAATAGGTATGCAATAACAGTTGTTACCATAAATGTGTTTATTTGGGTATTTTAAAATAGGATATTTTGTACTTGAAAGCTGTTTGTCATATAATGTAGATTTGTGGCTCAGTGCTGCAGCTATATATAGTTCCTATAATCAAACAAAATTCCTTGCCCTATGCTTCAAGTATGGAAGATTCTCTGACGCATTCATGTTGGTACAGGCTCCCTCCAGTTTGCTGATCAGGAGAATAGTTTCCATTATTTTGAAAGGGTGCCAGTTAGAAGTATTTTAGATCTATTATTGGTTTAATAGCAAGATTCAAAAATCCAAGGTTTGATAATCCAACAACATAAACAAAAATATACTTTCACAAATCAATATTGGGATTTTGATGGTTTCAATACATTATTCTCATTGGTTGAAGCCTGGGATAAAGTTTTTCTCAACCAATTAAAATCTAAATTGAAAACATACTGGCATTCCAATCGGAATAACATGTGTCAGTGTGATCTTACACAGTTTAATCTGAGTGCCATTTCAAAGGCTGATTTTACCTCATGGCTGGAGCCACTAGAAAATTATAGTTGTGCATTTATCATGGGTACAGTCCTGTTCCATTAAAATTGTACAGTCTCCACAAGGATAATCTCACTTCACTTCTGACTTGCCATTTTCAGTTAATGTCTGATGTTGTTGCTCTGGGAATAGAATTGTGCTGTGTGACATGGATAAAATTTTTGATGTCACAATATTATGCCAAGACTTCCGCTCCTTGTAGTTCTTATATTCGTATTGTATCCAATGAAAATTTTCTTCCGACCAAATTTGAGTAGTAATCCTATCTGAAATTTTAACCAAGCTTTCTTCACTTATGAAGTTCCAACATGTACTGAATTAATTTCATACTTTCTAGCATTTGCATTTTTTTTACTTAATGCTAGCAAATTTATGTGTCTAAGTGTTAGTTCCCGTGAATTCCTAATACAAGCTGAAACTTCTTTCAGAAACGACAACATCATATATCTTTTACCATCCTGAATGAAACTTGAGCACATATTTAATGCTCTCTTAACTTTTACTGTCCTATATCATGGCAGTCATATACATTATTAAAGGAATAAGTTGCTATTTGAAAAATGTAGCCTTCATTTAGTAAGAATGGCATCAAATACCTGTCAGAAAATTCTGTGCTGTGACAATCCTATGACTCTATGAAATTATTTACTGTTACTTTGATAAATCAGCCCATGAACTTGATTTTCCCAATTTTATATGGCATCTGAACCTCTAATTGGATTACTGAATTATCTAGTCACTCATCTAGTCACTGCTATGTAATATTTACAGGTAAATATATATCCTACTAAATAATGTAGATAACTTACATTAATTTGATGTGAGTATTTTTCAGAGGAAAATTTGTTGGAGTAGAAATGTTTTGGTCACTCATTCATAAGCCACAATGACGTGGACACAGGAATCAATCCTTGAAAGATAGACCAAAGCTACCTCAAATGCTGGACCTTGGATCACATTGGAAAAATTTTAATGAGCGGTTAGCACCTGTCATGCCTTCACAAGATATTCATCCTTGTCAAGGAATGTAATTTAGGTAGCCTGCCTTAATGGTTATGGTCTTCAGCTAATTGTTTGTGAGGGAAAGAGAAGAGGAAGCTGCTGATCATGACCCACCAGCAGTTCTGCAAAGTGTTTCACCTGGATTTGTTTTAGAAAAGAACTCATATTTTGTGAATGTTTCCTTTTAAGATATCAGCCACCACAGAGAAAGCTACATAGAAAGGGTACAGTGCCTGTTGCATTAAGGGTATTCCAAATTCAACAATACGCATGAAAGTAGATAATAGGCCTTTTGTTGACATAGTAAAAGGGCCTAACATCTGGTGTCCAGTAGCAATGCCTGAAAGGTTGCAATGAGTATTTGAGTGCATTTCATTTATCTTTGGGGTGAGGGATAAAATCTCATAAAGCTGTTACTTTTCTTGCTCTTGTTCTGTCCAGAAAACAGAGGATGCAGTGCAATTTCTACACCAATGTTTCCTGTTAGATAATATATAACTGTTTGACAAAAGTTGGAGAACATTTTGGTGACCAAAACTGAAATATTTGAAGTACCTCCACAGAATACAAAACATGAGCAGCAAAACTGAAAATGAGAATACATAAAATATTTGGGTTCACTGTTAAAAAAAATTAGGCCAACGCTCTGCTGTACACAATATCCTTTCAGCCTTTTAGCATGGATTTGAATCAAGAGTCGTGGAATGAAAGTATGTTTTCTGCTGATTGGAGGAGAACTCTCCTGTAATTAAGTTTCCCATTAACTTCCTATTTCTGTATAATTGTCGGTACACAACCTCCAATTCCAAACAATTGATCACTAAATTGACAATTTCATTTGAAGGTGCACAAATAACCCCTTATTCAGGCAGTGAATAAACCAACAAGAACAGGAATTGTCCTATTTTAAGTTTGGAATAGAAGTATATTGTAAAGGTAGCATAAACCTTATTCCCTACATAGCACAGCCATTGCCTTTGCAATTTGTTGCGTCAGAATTTTGAATTTTCTAACATTCCCTGTTCTTTTCTGCTATTTTTTAAAATCATACAGATGAGCTATTGGTGAGTTATTGTTCTCACCAATCAAAGTTGAGAAAATAAGTGTATCACGTTTTATCCAATTTTCACAATGAATAACTGTTGGCAATTTAGTAATTAGCTCCTGCCATCTTGCTGAAGTTTGAACAGCAGGTAACAGGCAGCTGATTTTGTATTGGCAGAAAAGAATTTTACCAAATTTCAAAATTTATACTTTTGCTTGGAAATTTGATTTCAGGACACAATTGCATCTCAGTGCATGTGACTAGAAATGTGGTTGCCTGGAAACTATGTTAAGTATCCCGAATATTATTCTCCAAGTGGAATGTACTACATTGAGAACACATGGCACTTTGGCCTTTTACAGTTGATACAGCACATTTGGGAAGAATTGCCTCCTGGGCAATTTCAGATTGTTCCTCATTTGTTCACTGTATTTTTTTATATAGCTGGTCTGCAATAGCAGATATATTATCCCTTTCTATTCTGTAACAAAATTTCCCAAAATTACAGTTTAAGGAAAAAGGATACTGTCATTCAATTATGAACTTGAGTTGAATTATTCTGACAAGCACAGAAGTAAATTATTTCATTTGTTTATGATTACGGATAGCTTTTGAAGTCCACACAGGCTTATTTTCATATACTGTTACGAAATAATTAATTATTGCTGGTGAATATTATGAAATAATAAAGAAGTGCACAAACTATTAATTTGTTTTTTAAAGGTGGTGGCATGTTGAGAGGAGGACCTTTGCAAAGGCATTCTGACAATTCTCCAGATAAATTTAGTGAAAAAAAGCATAATTTACATTTTATAATTGGTCTATTTGTGTGCAATTCAGGTACCTCTAATTGAAATATGGGTAGTGATCCATTATTCTAGATCTCCACCCACTGTAGATCACACCCAATATGCTATGAAGAGGATTTTATTTTTAAGGTGTGCTAATATGAAACAGGAGGAAATTAATATCACTATTGGTTTGGAGCCAGGATATTAGCATATGTGTGCACCTGAAATATATACTCATGCTGTTAGGCATACTGAATGTTATTAAATTACATAGCTTATTGCATTCAGCCTCTTCATTTCTTAAATGCTTTTAATGATTTTTCTTCAGTTATTTAAGCTATCATGATCTTCTTGCTAATTGTTTTAAAAAATTTCTTGATCTCCAGTGCCAATCAGGTTTCTAAAAACAAATAACCCATCTGAAGTGTTTGAAAGAACTAAAATGGGGAAGAACATGAGTCATGTTAGGCTGCATAACGGAGGCCCATGTCCATCCATTAATATTCACATTCTTATCTACAGATATGAAGTAATATATTTCAGTTTAAAAAAAACAGTTGGTGGACATGAAGATTCTTCTGCCCAAAAGAGACTGGAACAGTAGTTTCTAAGGGCAGTGGGCCTGACCTCACCAAGTATTCACCTTCCGCAAAACAAGAAAGCAGCTATTTGGCTGTTTTTTTCCTGAGGTTGGTGAACTGAGTCCTGGAATTTCCTGACTCTGCCCACCCACCTTAGGAGTGAAATTCCAGACCACGTTCTCTGCTAAATTCTCAGAGATTTGCTTCAACACGACGATCTGTCAAAGTTTGCTGAACTGAAACTGTTCTGTTGTTTCTGTTTTGCACAAATTCTCAGTACGGTCTGCAGTGCCAAGCAGAAAACGAAGGTTAATTCAACCTCATTGTAATTAACTTTCTGTTCACTGTTTGCTTCATAGCTGTTCAGTTCATAGCAACCTTGGGTCACACGGCATTTCTTGGGGCCAGTTATCCAACAATACAGCACTTCCTCATTACTGTCCTGGAGTGTCAACCTAGATTTTAGATTGAAACTTCAATTCATAACCTTTTGAAATACCATGGAAGAGCTGGTAACCTTTTCAAGAATTATTGTTACATTTGTGACAGTTTTCATAACTTTTAAATCCCCCTACATACAATTTTGGATTACTAGTGTTCTTTCTGAACACACTTAATTCTGCATCTGGAGAATTTTAAATTTATGATCATGAGAAAACTTCATTACATAGGGTACAAATAGCATACCATCCTTTGTGTCAGAGTTTCTCCTGATTTGTATGATAATTTCTAGACTTGCATTTAACCGTTATAAATTTTTGCTTTTGATTGGAAGTCACCTGATGAAGGAGCAGCGCTCTGAAAGCTTGTGACTTCAAATAAACCTGTTGGACTATAACCTGGTGTCGTGTAACTTCTGAATTTTTCCTTTAACAGACCTTCCGTTTTGTTCTTTTTTTCATTCTCCTTAATTTCACCTAGATAAAAGCTATTACATTTATAAATTTTCTCAATGCTGATGAATGATCATCAACCTGAAATGTTAGCGGTTTCTCCCCACAGATGCTGTCAGACCCATTGAGTGT